TCCCGGCCGGGCCAATGCCGAGGAAGGGGGACGGGGGGAGGGGGGAGTCTTGCTGGGGACCCTTTGCTCCCAAACACTCGATTTGGAGGGTCTTGCTGGAAGACGGGACCCTGCCCGCGCTAGACTGGGCTTTGACGCTTTGGAGCTCGCTGGGGAAGTCGCTGGGCCCGGTAGGGGCGCGTGTCGGCGGTCTTGTCCTAAACCCTCCTGGCCCCTCTAAACCCTCCTGGCCCTAGTGGGGCTGACTGTGGAAACCGTTGCTTTGGCGGTGCAAAGAGCACAGGACTTGGAGTTAGGGCGGTGTGGATGGGGGTTCCGCTGATGTTTGCCAAACTTAGACAGTGCCAGCACCCGCTTTCAGGAATCACTCCGGCAGCAAGCAATTGTAGTTTCTGACGCATAAACTCTTACAATGACAAATATTTACTGCCCTGCCCTGCTTGGCTGGGCAGGCAGGGTGGAGCGGCCCCTTCTGACCCAGGCCTCTGATCTCGCAGCCTGGGAGATAAATGGGATGAGGGTGCTAGTTAATCATTAAGCCCAGTCCTGGGTAGACTGGCAGCAGGCCAGGTGCACCTGCCCCTGCCTTGCGGTGTTCCTTCCGGTCAAGAGGGGGTGGGGGTTGAGCAGTGTGAGAAGGGGGACCTCTGGCTCCTTTCAGGACCAGGCCTGAGCTGGGGACTCGCCCAGCTCAAGAAGTGTTCCCACCCCCTGGGACTCCCTCATCAGGAGTCTGGGGCCTTTGTTGAAGAACCGTTGCCCCCTGCAGCCCCCACCCAGCCTGAGCCCCTCACATTCCCTGGGTAGGGGGCATTTGGGTCACTAGGCTCTAGCCCCCAATTGCCACAAAAGGAGGGCTTGTCCAGCCTTTGAGGACAGTGTGCCTGGCCATAGGTGCAGAAGGGGTGGGGAAGGTGAAGGGAGATGGGCCAAGAGTGGTAAGTGAGGGCCGAGTCAGGCTCCTTCATTTGAGTTAAGCACTACCTGCCCGGGAGTGTGTCTGGGGACAGAGTGTTAGGCTCTGTGGACCTCCTTAGACAAGGCAGTGTCCTCATTGCTTGACCACCCACTGAACCCCAACCCTCGTTATTGCCCGCTTAGGTACCCCTGTTGGGCCTCTTCCTGGGTCTTTCTAATCTGGGCTCCCTTCTCTCTTAGCAATCGCTGGCTGGACCCAGCGGCCTCCCCTCCTGCTCTATAGCCAACCTTGTCCTGGGGCCACCTTGGCACCACAGGTTTCCTCTCTGGCAAACCTGCATGACTGCCTAGACTGCTTTCCCTCAGGGCCAAGGCTCTGTCGCTGGCCTGACGTGGTGGTGACGGGGCCAGAGACTTAAACGGCAGCCCCAGAGACTGCTCAGATCCCCTGTCCAGAGCTGGCAGCCTGGTAAGACCCTCCTCCCCTTCCCTATGTCCTCAGGGCTGGAGCTAGAGCTGGGATAGCTCCCAGATCCTGACCATATCCTTCCAGAGGCTGAACCAGTCCCGGAAATTGTCACCTCAAATGTGAGACGACTGAGGTGGGGGTGCAGGGTGGGGGAAAAAAGATCTGAGCCTGGCATCGTGAAGAGGGCAAAACAGACATTAGCATAGTGGGGATCCCCAGAGCTTAGAGTCCTGTGAAAAGCAGAGAACTGCCCCTCCCCCACCCCACTCCTCACCTCCCACCCCATAGTCTGTGTCCTTGGCCGAGAGATTCCTGGAGGACATTTTTCCCCGGAAAGGAGGAAGGGTGGCGTCTGGGCCCAGATTTCTGGATGGGTGGGCCCAGATTTCTGGATGGGTTTCCCTCAGCCTCCTATGGGGGGTGGCTAGGTTGAGCTGGCTCTTGGGGACTCTTTCTTCCCTAACCTAATTTGGGCAGGAGGCCCCAGAGTCAGAGCTGTGCCAGGGGAGCGGAGGCATCGTTCTTCTTCAGTAGCCTCCATGTGTACTTAACTAAAGGCTGTTGGCTTCACTCTCTGGAGTTGCCCTGGGCAGCAGAGCTGATCGTAGAGACCCCACGGTGTGGTGGTGGTGGTGGATGGGGGTGCGGGGGGGATGGGCTGTGAATTTGCCCTCTCCGTCCCCAAGGCTGGTGTGGGGGTTCCGGAGCTTGTACCAATTCTCTCAGGGCAGCCCTACTCACTGAGCAGCCAATGAGGTAGAGACTGGGGGGCCAGAGAGTCAGGGGAGAAACAGCCCTTCTGGAGGCAACCTGAGCCCCAAGTAGGGCACGCCAGGAGATAAGTAGCAGTGACAGCCACACCTTTGGCTTCCCAAGCTCTTGGCCACCCATGTGGTAGCCTAGCTGAAGTGATAGGGAATGAAGGTACAGATGACTCAGAAGGTAAATTGGAGGGCTGTGGCTGGAATTGGACCTGTCCCACCTTTGGGCTTCTTCTCTGCCCAGCAGAGAGATAGTCCAAGCCCAAGAGGAAAGCCAGCTCAGGGCTGACGGTACCTTAACAAGTAACCAGGTGACAGACACTGAGCCTCCTGACAGCCAGTGCAAAGAAGGATGCTGGATGGTTTTGGACTGTCTCAGAGGAAGGAAGCAGATGGATGCTCTATGAAGGCAGTTTTCCCTAGAACTGGCTCTATAGGGTTGTCAGCCTTCTGCAGGGCCAGGAATCTCCATGCGGGTCAGGATCTGGATTCAAATCTCCTGGACCTGCCACCTTTGGGGTGTGTAAACATAGGCAAAGTAGGTAGCTGTATTGGTTTTCTGTGACTGTCACAACAAATTACTACAGACTTGGTAGCTTAAAACAACAGAAATTGATTTTTTCGCATTTCTGGAGGCCAGAAGTCTGAAACCCAGTTGTCGGCAGGGCCATGCTCTCTCTGAAGGCGCCAAGAAATTCTCTGCTTTTCCCTAGCTTCTGGTATTGCCAGAAGTCCTTGACTCTTCTTGGCTTGCAGCTGCATCACTCTGAACTCTGCCTCCATTGTCACATGGCCTTCTTCCCTGTGTCTGTGTCTCTTTTCGCGTGTCCTTATAAAGACACTAGTCATTGGATTTAGAGTCCACTCTAATCCAGTATGACCTCCTGTTAGCTAATGACATCTACAACGAGTATTTCTAAATAGCGTCAAGTTCTGAGTTCCCGGCTATACATGAATGTGGGGAGACACTATTCAATCCACCACAGTAACTTCTGCAAACCTCAGTTCCTCACCTGTAAAATGGGGAAATAAAATGCCCATCTGGCAAAGGAGTCGTAAGATTAGACATAACAAGGAAAGAGTCTGGCACACAGCAGTGTCGGATGTGCATGAGCTGTTTTTACTAATAAGCTTCTATGGCTCTAACCTGAATTTACTCGATCACCCAACAGCTGTATTCTTCTCTTCAGTGATGATCACTGGGCACTGTGGATATTTTGGAGAGTAAGACAGACACAGAAGGTCAAAGTAACAGCTATGATCCTCTGCACCCCCACTCACTCTCCCACACACACACCCTGAGAACCTCAGAAGGCACCAGCCCAGGACGTGGAGGAGGGCTTCCAGAGGAGGTGACGATGAGGTTGGGGTCTGAAAGAAGAGTGCTAGCAGGACGTCCCAGTAAGAGAGCAGTGGGTGTACCGCACAGAGGAAGGGGCGGAGCCCCAGCAAGGCAAGAATTTATCCTGAGGGGAAACAGGGCCTGTGAAAAGTTTTCAGTGGGGGAGGGGCATTTGCTGCCTGAGCACTGGGGCTGCAGTAGGAAAACCATGGAGGGGCTGGAGACCCTGAGGAGGAGTTGCCAGGTGAGAGGGGGTGGTCTGAGGGAAGATCAGGGTCAGGTGCGGCCTGGGGCGGGGTATAGAAGTGGAGGCCCCTAGACGGGGTCAGTGAGGATGCAAGGGTGGCTGCGCTGGATTAGACTGGACTGATGTGGCCGGTGGAGGTTTGGGGAGGTTAACTGCGTAGCTCAGGCTTGGGCATGTTGACCTGAGGTGTCTGAAACTCCAGGAGACAGGATGTTTGAGCAAGACTCAGCTAGAAAGTAACTGAGTCCAGCTTGCAGAGGTGAAGGAAGCCGAGGAGGTGCTGTGTAGGGGGGTTTGGGGGGCAGGCCTCCTGGAAGTCCAGGCAGGCCGAGTAGAGCAAGCGTGAATAATGTTGGACAGTTTTGTCACATCAACTTAGCCCTGTGCAGGGTCGGTCAGTGGGGTGGGGGCTGGAGGGTGAATAAGGAAGCTTGGGCGCCCGATCCCTGAGGCCATGGCTGTGGAGATAAGAATACTTGCCTCTTAAGCAGGGATGGGTGGGAATTTGGGCTTGGAACAAGATCTAGCCCTTCCTCTCCCACCCTCTGGAGCTCCCAGACACCGCAGGTAATTGCCAGGTGATGTGATAAATGCTACCTGTGCAGGGTTCGTGGGCAGGAAGGAGCAGGCAGCCAGGAGGAAGGCACTTATGACCTCTGAGCTCTGAGCTGCTCATCGGGCAGGGACAGAGGTGGCTTCAGGCTTGGGTGTCAGAGCCACGGAGGTACAGGCCCTTACTGTATGTAGCCTTTGTACTGTCTCAGTGAGTCCACCCAACAATTGTTTTAATTATCCCCGTTCTGCAGATAGAAAACTGAGGGCAGGAAGAAGAGACTCAGTGGCTGGGGTTGAATTTGAACCTAGGGACTCTAGAGCCCATGCCCTAGGCCATTCTGCCATTCTGCCTCTGAGTTTGGGAGTTGGACTTGGTCCACCAGGTGCCAGACCCACTGCCGTATATTTGTAGGTGTTAATAAGCTGACATCTCTGGAGGTCCACACCCTTGGCCATGCTCCAACTACCATTATCACATCAAAGGTGGGTGCTGAAATGGTGAATGCTGGAAATGGCGCCAGGGAGTGTTGACCAGGCCCTGGGGACATGGGGACTCTGTCTGCCTGAAATTGACCAGAGTTTACCTCCCTGCCATCACTGGGCAACTCCAGCTTCTTCACCATGATGGATTCTTCCTTCCATGCCTTCACTGTGTTCTACGTGGCTCTGAGAGGCTGTGGCCAGGTAGCTACCGGCCACCTGAAGTGACCCCTGATCCTCTGCTTTGAGGTCTCAGACAGTGGCAGCAGGCTCATCTGAGGCAGACTGACTCATAGCTGCAGAAAGCATTTAAAGAAGGCAAATTGGGGCTTGCCACTGGGAAGAACTTGCCAACCAACCAATCTCGCTTGTCTTTATAGATAGTGAGTTCCCCATAAGGGCAGGTGTGCAAGCTGATCTCTCTGAGGTGCTTGAGATGGGAGACCCGAGATCAAATATTTGAGATTCTGTTATCCTAAAGTTAAGATGCTATGATGATTGGATTTACAGTCAGTTTTGTTCAGTGAGTTTTCCAAATGTCTCCTTGGTGCAAATACTAGGAGATACAAAATGTCCTGGAGGATATCAGGTTTCCTGGCTCCCAGCAGGCCCTGAGATCTTAGCTCAGTGGTTCTGGAGGATGGATCAGGCACTGCTTGCATCTGGACGTGCCTGCCTGGCTCAGTCCCCTTGAGGCTCACAACTGCATTTGGGGATATTGCGTCTCTAGCAGCTGTGGCCCATCCAGGACATGAGGCTCACCTGGCACTTCCTGGGACTCAGGCACTGTTGCTCCCAAGACCCGACAGCAGGGTGGGGCATCGCAGAGGCAGCAATGAGACGCCACTTGTAGGAAGTGGGTTGCAGGGCCTTCCATGGTCCGGTTGAGCGGCTCTGGACAAATCCCTTCTCCTCTCGGGCTGCAGTTTCCTTGTCCTGGGAGTACCCTTCTTCCTCCACCAGTTCCTTGTTTTCCCAGGCATAGAGGTGGGGCAGATCCAAGCCTGTTAGAATAGGAAGGGCCTTGGAGGCCACTGAGGCCCATTTCTCAGAGGTGCCTGGCCAAGGCCCCCGAGGCACTCTAGGTTGCTGGTGCCAGCATAGAAGGGGTAATTAGGAGATGAAAAGCACCAGGATGGTGGGGTGGCAGCCTCCATGATACCTTGACAGCTGCCCTTGGCTGGAGGCCAGCTCAGCGCAGGAAAGCTCTTCAAGGAACAAAGATGCCGAGAGCCCAGCTCAGCCAGTCCCCGTCAACACTCCGGTCTTCCCACAGCCCCTGCCCACTTCATGGCCACCTGAGGAGCTAATCGTCACCCACCAGGGTCTTAATGATTGGGCTGGGGTTAATGGGTTACCCAGATGGGTGACACATTCATCAGCCTCCCTGGGATCTCAAAGTCCAGACGCCCGGCCTTCAAGTCATTTGAGCTCAGCCACTTTCCTTTCTGCCCTTGACGGCTCAAGGCTCAGGAGAGGCCCAGGGAAGTTGAGGCTACTACGCCCACAGATGGCTCTAGCACCTGGTATCCAGGCTCAAGTTGTTCCCTCCAGCTGGCATGTCCTCCCCAGTCCAAACCCAGCCCGGATTTCTCCCCACCCTCACTGTATCTGTCCTCCTCACGAGGCCCTGGGGTCTTCCTTCTCCTTGGCTGACCATACTATCCCATTTCCAATCCAGCTGGGGGCTCCTTGATAGAAGGATTTATATGGGCCAGGATCAGAGGTGAGAATGAATGAATTTAAGCCAGGGCCATGCTAGTGGTGGCAATTCTGGCAGGCAGCACGCTATGCGTGGACCTCAGAGGGGTGAGGTGGCTTGGGCCCACCAGCTCCATGTGAGTAAATGATGGCCCATCCCCGGCCCCCGCTGCCTCTGTCCCCCATCAGCCAGAATGCAAAAACGTTGGAGGACGAGAAAAGGTTCCTCTGGGTCATGTGACTTCCTTCAGCCCTGGTGACCATGGTCCTTGGAGTGACAGCCTATAGATACCCCACCTACAGCCCTGAGGGTCAGGGAGAAGGCATGCTTGTAGAGAGAATCTTAGGCTTCTCATGCCTGGTGAGGTCTCAGATGCTTACACTCTCAACCCCTGCTGGTGCAGACATATTGTGGCTGCACCCCAGTGCTGTGTAACCCCTCCCTGGACATTGTAAGTTGTGGGGAGCTCACCTCTTCTCAGGGGACCTGCCTCTGCTTGAAACCCAGCCTTATTTAGCCCCACCGAGGCCCTCAAAGCTCAGGTCTCTCATTCAGGGTTTGGGACCCCACTGGGCTTAGAGAGGCCCACAGCTGTTCCAGGTCACACAGCTGTGGGGACAGGACCAGGAGCCAGCTTTCTTTCCACCTGGAAAGGTTCCTGTGCCTTTAAAGCCTTCCTCCGCCCTAGGCCAGCACCGGGAGAGAGGGGAGGAGCTGGGTCACAGCTAGTCCCTGGGGACTCGGTTCTGTGCTGGAGTGCAGCAGGAGGACCAGCCCTGGAGCCAGGTGAGCTGGGATGGAACAGGGTCTGGCTGTACCCCAGTGCTGTGTGATCCCAAAGTGTGGCTTACCCTCTCTCAGCTGCTGGGCATCATAGGTGGGGGAAGCTTGGGTCTGGGGCCTTTGGGGAATGTTTGGAGTCCTAGGTTCTAGTCCCAGCTCTGCCATGTGGTGGCCACACTCTGGGGGTCCCCTTCTTCCTCTCTGGGCATGAGTTTATGTTCCTGAGTGATGGGAGTGGGCTGCCTTTCGGGGCGACAGGGGCAGGGCTCATGTGGATGGATATAGTGGAGGGATCACACAGGTGTGCAAAGCCCCATGCTCTTTAACAAGGTCTGGGTTGGGAGCCTCTGTTTCTTGTCTGGTAAGTGAGTTTGAGACTGCCTGTCCAGGCTTTCTGGCTCACTCTGCCACAGGTGTGGGGTAGGTGGAGGAAAGCCAGGTGGAGGGAGCCACCTAACTTCTCTGAAGAAACCATGGCACCTAAGAAGTGGACTCTTGGAATTAAGACAGAAGAGTGCAGCATGGAGAAACTGAGGCCCCAAAGAACCTGGCAGCCTGGGGTGGGGGACTCACTGGGGGGTCAGGTCTGGAGTGGAGCCGGAGCCGTGAGGGGCTAAGACGCTGTGTCCTTGGGCCATGCCCCTCTGGGTCTCTGGCTTGTGGCCTAGTGGAGGTGGAGCAGAGTCAGTTGTGTAAGGGTCATTGCATAGCTCTAGGGGGCATGCGCCACTCTGTGATTATTCAAATCTCAACAGGTTTCTGGAAGATCTTGGTTATCAAGTCTTGGGAGAAAGCCTGTATCTAATTCTCAATCTTATCGCCCTAGGGTAGGCAGAGAAGGAGAGAGAGATCCCGATTCTGATAAGTTTCTAGTCCAGGAGTGTGGATGGGGCTCAGGAAGCAGCTGAGAGCTGTGTTCTCATACCCAAGGGAGGTGTCTCCTCACCATGGGCTGGGGCAAGGAGGGTGGGTTCCGGGTTCACCTGTCAGTCCATATGGCTCTTGGGGCTGGCTGACCTTGACCAAGCTGCTTCTACCTAAGCCTCTGTTTCCTGTCTATGAATGGGTTTGGAGTTGTGCCTCATTTTCAACCCTGTGGCTCCGGGCTTGTGATGACAAAGCCATGGGGCTGGATTGGAGGAAGATTAACAGAGAAACTCCAGGCTGGCTGCTCCATCTTCCTCCTTAATACTCTTCTCTGCTGTGTCTTGGGAACCCGCTTTGCTCAGCCTAGATGAAGCCTCGGTGTGTGTGAGTGTGTTGGGAGGAGGTAGTACTAATGGCAGAGTCAGTATCTTGGGGTGGGGAACTCACCACCTTTTGTGTCTAGGACAGGAGACATAGGGTCTAGAGGAAACCTCCAGCCTAGACCCACTCCCCCCAGGTCCCCTCTTTGCTTGTAGGGAGTAGGAGGCTGACCGGGACAGAATGTGACACACTTGACATATCTTTCTGCACATCATGGCTCTTTTGACTTTTGATGAGCTGCCTTCGCTCCTGTCCCCCCTCTCTGAAACCTGCAGCTGCTGTTAGGTGCAGATGACTGTGCCCCATCACAGGCAGCACTCTGTGCCCAGGGTTTTCCTGTTGGGGTTACCTGTGGGGGCCGGGCCATCCTCTGCCCACTCAGACATTCTTCTTATCTTCCTGCTGCTGCCGATACTGCCATGTCTCACGCCATCCCAGGCAGAGAAAACTGCCAAGTAGGTGCAGGCTAGTGACAGACCCCTCCCAGCTGACTGCCCTGTTATGCAGCCACTCAGGTGGGGCCAGTCTCCTAATGGTCCTGGCTGGAGTCCAGCCTCCAGGGATGGGTCCTGGGCCTTGGTCCTTGGCTCCTTCCCTATCCATCTTCCCAGTCCCTCTGGTCTGTAGCTGCCGTGATGCCCAGGCAGATTGTTCGGTTACAGCATCTCCAGCCTGCTCAAGGGCAGTAGATGACAGAACAAGGTCTGCTCTGGCTGCGTGACTCAGGGCCGGCAGCAATATCCGGTCAACCTCTGTGTCTCCTGTCAGATGGCACAGCCTTACAGGATGGTTGTGAATTAGGTGTTAGAGATGGGGGCTGCAGGGGCTCCTGCGCAGCCTAGACACAGCCGGCCAAGGAGCCGGGTGGGAGCCATGACTCAAGGAGCAGCTGATGATTGTCTTTGTCTTTAGCAGATAAAGGGCGTGGGGGAATGGGGAGCAGTGTCCAGAGTCCCCTGGGCTAGACCAGAGCAGCTCCTGACTCAGGACCTCTGTGGCGGGCTGGTCAAGGACATGCAGCAACTTGGGAGCAGGTGCGGGTAGCCAGGCCTGCACTGCTGGGCCCTGTGACTTTGGACCGGCTCTGGCATTCTCTGAGCCCTGTCTTTAAAGACTGTTCAGGCAGTTCTTTGGATGTGAGATGATAATATTTTTGGATAGGTGGCGGAATCGGTCCTGACCCGAGGCCCCAGGCCATGTTCCTGAGAGGCTCCCTTCGATTCTGAGGGATGTGGGTTGTCATGAGGCTTCCCAGGTCTGGGTTCTGGTCTGGTACTGGTGGCACCCCTGCTTCACTGCCTCAGGAACCATCTCTGGGGCGCTGTATCTAGCCCTGAAGTTCAGACTCTGAACAGGGACAGGGTTCGTCAGTGGGGGATCCAGCCTGGGGCTCCCTGGAGGGGCTCAGAGTGGGCTCCACCCTTTGGAGGGAACTGAGTCCTAGAGAGGGGGAACCCCTGCCTCTGTCACCACACTTCTCCTTCCCTGTTGGGGGGTCACACTGTCGCTTGGTGACAGGCCGAGTCGCTGCACCTTCTTGTTGCCCATATGTCCAACCATTCTCCCTGCTTGGTTGGACCTTCCTTGGAGGACCTCCTGCTCTCCACCCTACTCAAATGCCTTCAACTTCCCCACGGGGATGCTGGGTGCCTCCTCTGGGACTAGGTGAGCACGTGAGTTCCCCCGTCCCTCCTGCCTCTGTTCCTCCCTGGAGGTGCCAATCCCCAGATCTCAGTCCCAGTTCAGAGGCCCCCTGAGGAGCTCTGTAGGGGCCGCAGGCGTGGCTCTGGCTCCTGAGGTCCCTTAGACCTCCCAGCATTCCCTGGGACTGGGGAGGCCGGTGGTGCTGTGGCTGAGACTTTCCCAGGCAGACAAATCTGCCTTCTCCTCCCCTGCTGTGCCCCAGCCCAGAGCTGTCTTCTGAGGAACGGGCTTTCCTGGGGCTTTCCTGGACCCCTGATGCCTCTGGGCCTCAGGTAAGTGCACCAGAGTTACGAGGAGTTGGGCTGTGGTTTGAGGCCAGGCACTGTGCCCTATCCGTTCTCTGGCCTCAGTTTCCCCTCCTGATACTGATTTGGGTGGGAGCCAGGCCTCTGGGCTTGGACACTGTTCAGTGAATCTTAGAGAAAAACATGAGGTGGGGGAGTGGGAAACGGAAGGCCAGTCCCCCAGCGGGGTGTCTTCCGCAAGGCTAGATGTATCCGCCTGTCGGGGGCTGAGCCAGGCCTCTTTTGCTGCCCTGCTTAAGGAGGAGAGGGTGGGCATCAGTGCTGCCTGCATCCTCCCCACACGCCCTGGCAATCCGAGCCTCACTGGGTGCCCCCTGTCCCTTAGGGAGCCCACTTAGGCCCTTGGGTGGGTGGATGGAAAGACAAATGAATGGACAGGGGAGGCTGAAGTGTGGACCTTAGGAAGCCATGACTAGCTCACCCCAGGGACCTGAGGGGAGAGAGAAGGGCCCTGAGGATGCCCCCAAGCCCAGAAGAAATGAGGCCAAAACCCCCTAGGTGCCCAACATGGCCGGCCCCAGTTGACGGGACTGGGAGTCTTCCTTGGTGGCTGGAGCTGTGCCTGTGCCAGAAAAGAAGGGCACTGGCCCCTGTCCGGCCCAGCCCTGCTCCACTGAATGTGATGGGAAAGTTCTGTGTCTGGAACCCACTCAGCAGGCGGGCCAGCTCTTAAGCTTCCGCAGACCTCCCAGCACAGCTGTCTCCAACAGCGGCCCTTAACTTTGACTGGCCTCCTTGCCAGGGTCCAAGGTATGCTCCGAGGGCTGTCAGGCCTGGCAGAGATGGTGGGCAGAAGGCATGGACTGCCCCCAGGGGCACTGGCAAGGGGCAGGGCCTGGTCAACACTTTGGAGAGAGCCCTCTGGCTGCTTTTCAGAAGACTGAAGAGTAGGGAGGGAGCTTTGCGGAGTCCAGCCAGAAATGGTGGGGCCTGGATTCGGTCAAGGTGAGGAGGAAGGGCTGACTCGAATCCTCCTGGGGACGTGGGGTGGTAGTTTGCTGTGTGACAGCCCCCTGAGCTGGGGAGGGGAAAGTTCTTTCATGCTGACAGTGGGGTGGGGCTCCATTCTTAGACCATCCCTGGGACATCACCTTTTGCCCTGGCATTCCTCTGAATAAGGACAAGGTGAGCCTGGGGCTTGCCTAGACACCCATCCTTTGGAGGGAACTGAATCTGGGAGTTTTTTTGGGGTCACACCTATCTCCTGCTTCCACTGCCAGGAGTCCCCAAGCCAGGACTTAAGCCAGCCCTTCCTCTCTGGGCAGCCTGGAAGGCAGTTACCAGGAAAATAAGTGAGCAAGAGGCTCACCAGCTTCCCGCTGCCACAGGCAGGCCCCCCAGAGTGCACCCAGAATAGCCCAGTGTCACCAACATTTACCTAGCATTGCATATTTTCCAACCCACTTCATCTTCCACTTAAACATCCCCAAGTGGGGTGCCTATGGCATTCCCAAAGGACAGATGGTCAGTGACTTGTCCAAGGCCCCACAGCGGGTGAGGGGCGAGTCCAGGCTCCTATGGGGCAGGCTGGCTCTGGGGCCCCCTGTCCCTGTACCCTCGGCTCAGCTTCACTACCTCCACGTGCTCCCCACCAAGCCCCGGCCCTGTGCCGGCATCCGCTCCCCGCCCTGCTCTGTGCAAACCCTCTCTCGGCTCTGCCTGGGAGAATTCGTGACCACATGTGAGCAGCTGACGGGCTCCTCTTTGACTCTAGAGCTCGTCTGGAGGCAGAGAAACCTCACAGAGCTCCTTGGGAAGGGCTGGGCCTGCTTCAGGTACGCCCTCTCCAAGGGCATGAGGAGGCTGCGGTCGGGGTGTCACTCTGGAGCAGATTCTGAGGTCACAGGCTTCTGCAGTGAATGAGAGAGATCCCAGTTATTTTGCCAGCTATTTTAACCAAACTCTCCCCGCTTCTGTGGCCACCTCCCCAGGCAAGGATCAAGGCTCCCATCCCCTGAGGAAAGTAGGCCCTTGCCCTGTAGCATCTGATCTGATGATGTCAGGAGGAGACCGTGGGTGCCCCCTTTGAGGGCATGACAGAAGCTGAACCCCACACTGTGGCAGGCCACTCTGGGGGACCCATGGACATTGCTGGGCTCTGGGTTGAGGTAGGCGACACAGAAGGAACAGGCCAGGCTTGTCCCTCCTAGGGTAACCTATTGGCAGTGGAGACCTCGGTCACTGGGAGGAGGCAGACAAAGCCCTGCAGAAGCAGAGGCATGTGAAATATGGGGGCTCCCAGGCGGGGTCACTGTTGGAGATGGGGTCCCTAGGAAAATCAGGGAGGATTTTGGAAGGCAGAGATGGAGTCAGGAGCTTCTTCTGGCAGAGAAAGTGACCTGACCCACATGTGTTTAGGGCGACAGGAAGGAGACACCGCAGATTTCTGCGGCTTGACTTTGGGCTGTGTGCGCCCTGTGATGGGCTGGTACAGTGCCTTGACCCTGCTCCCCCCACCCCCACCCTCTGCCCACAGATCATGAAGAGGCCGTTCGTGTTGCTGGGCCTGGTGGCTGTGATCCTGGTGCTCATCATTGGCCTCTGCCTCGGGCTGTTCTTTACCTCCAGGCTGCCCAAACACGTGTACTCTAGGGCAGCTGTGGCCGCGGATGCCAAGCAGTGCTCGGAGATCGGGAGGTGAGTGGGGCAGAGTGTGGGGACACAAGCCCTGGAGGACAACCCGCTATAAGTGGACCTGGCCAAGACCCTCGCCCCTCTGAGATTCAGTTTCTCCACCTATAAACAGGTTGCCTAGAGAAGGGGCATCCTTTTCGTGGACCTTCTCAGCAGCCTCTAGTCAGAAAAGAAGGGGACACTGACCCCAAAAGCAGGGTGCAGGTCTCCCAGTGTCCAGCTGGGCTCTTTCCTCAGTTCTAAAGGTGTCTGTCTCTTTGTGTAAACTCTGCTCTTTGATACTATTTTTGACTCTTATCTCACATTATACACAAAGATCAATTCTCACTTAAAGATTGAAACAGGGAAAAATGTTATTAATAAAAAGCAACGATTTTTTTTTTCAGTTATACAAGGTATATACATCTGTTTACTTGAAAAAGAAAAAATATATATAAGCCCATCCATTTTAGAGTGACATGTGAAAAACAAAAACTCCTATAAATTTCGCTTCTGTCAGGGCAGCCAGGTGGGGCGCGGTGGGCAGCCAGGTGGGGCGCGGTGGAGTGGGGGCGTCCGCAGATTCTCATTGGCTCTACGTGGTGTGGGCAGGGATGCGCTGCAGGACGGCGGCTCGGCTGTGGACGCCGCCATCGCGGCCCTTCTCTGCGTGGGGCTCATGAACGCCCACAGCATGGGCATCGGGGGCGGCGTGTTCCTCACCATCTACAACAGCACCACACGTGAGTGCCCACGGGGATGGGGGGTACATGACAGGGTGCTGCCTCAGGCGGGACTTGGGCTGGGGCAAGCATAGCTGGGTAGCCCCTGGGCTCACACAACACAGGGTGAGAGGTTGGTGTTGGTCCGGACTGCCCAACTGCTTCTCCTTCCAGGAAAAGTGGAGATCATCAACGCCCGAGAGGTAGCCCCTGCGTCGGCCTCCACCAACATGTTCAACAGCTCAGAGCAGTCGCAGGAAGGTGAGGGGCAGTCTCAGAGTGTGGGACGGGAAGTCTTAGCGTAGCCCTGTCTGAGGTCAGGGATGGCTCTGGCCCACCCCTCCTCTCCCTTCCCAGCCCCATAACAGCTCCATAATGAATGGACAAGACCATCATCACCGAGGGTAAAGGGACAGAGCTTCTGTTATTTTTGCTCAGGCCCCTCTGTGCTAGTACACGGAGAGAATAATTATTATTAGAACAGCTTGCCAAACCAGGGGACAGTACAGCCAGCACTCTGCTCAGCCATTTTCACTGACAAGACCCTTGAATTTTCCCTGTACATTTAGTAGGGGGAGTGCTGTGTTGGTTCCCATTTTATAGGCAGAGATGCTGAGACCCAGAGAGGTCATGCGAACTGGCCGAGGTCACGCAGCTCTGTGGCGGCGAAGCATGCCGTCTAAACCCTGCACTGTTAACAGACATCCAAATTATTCATTCATTCATTTGTTCATTTGTGGAGATGAGTATGGCGTGGAATCTCTCTTTTCTAATCTGATCATAAGCCAACAGGAGGCTCCCCAGCTCTGCATGCAGCTGAGGAGAAGGCAGTGGCCACCAGGGGGCGCTGCTCCTGACACCGCCGCCCCCCACGGCACACCTCGCAAACAGATCGCAGGAAAAAAGGTTGAAGAGAAGGAGGTGCAGGGCACCCAGGGCCACAGCAGGTCTGATCCCCTCCTCTGCCTCGGAGGTTGGGGCCCTTTGAGTAGCCCCTTTGACATCTTCTCCAACATTCACAATCTTTGAATTTTTACCCACCGGGAAACTTAAAATGTGTAGAAATGAAATCAGAGTGTGAGATTGCTGGAATCTCATAGCCCTAGCACCTTCTGGATGCTTGGAATTCATTTATTAACTAGGACTTATTGGGTACCTCCTAGAGTGTCAGGGGCTTTCTCCCCAAGCCAGGGTCCGAAACAAAGGCAATAGACATTCCAGGTGAGGAGAGGCTGAGCAGACTGCAGGTGTGCCACGTGCTGCCGGGAAAACAGAGGCAGGAAGAGCCAGAGGATGCTCAGCTTCCCCAAGGGTGACCTGGCCAGGGAGGGGGCATCTCAGCAAAGATCCAGAGGCTGGGGTGGAGTATCTGGAGGGAGGAGGAGGACATGGGGTCAGATGGAACGGCTCGGGTCATGTTGGACCTCCTGGATCAGTGTGAAGACTGTGACTCTTATTGAGGGTGGTAGAGGTGTTCCCTGGAGTGTTTCAGTGTGATGCGGTAGGGGTGGCTCTGGCCTAAGTCTGACAGAACAGAGAGCAAGCTGCCTGCCTGGCAGGTGACGGATCAGGAGGTCTTGGCAATAATCGGGGAGATGAGGGTGGTGGTTGGTAGCTGGTGCCAAACACACATGGAAGGTGGAGCTTATGGATTTGCTGACGTGTTGGGTGTGTTGGGTTGGGTGTGACATGTACGCAGGCTGTCCTGATGACCCCAGTCTGCACCTGGCCCAGACAGGCTGTGTGGCAGAGAGGGATGGGTAACAGTCAGGATTTGGGTTTTGGGTGTGTTAAGTTTGAGATGCTTTCTCTGAATGGATACGTATATCTTCGGATCTGGCCATCAGGGAGCAGGCCAGGCCGGAGAGTAGATTTGGGGGTTGTCAGAATGTAAATGGAACCCGAAGCCCTGATCTGGGGGAGTTCAGCAAGAGAGGGGGTGTAGACAGAGGAGAGAGCGGGGAGATGTGAGGAGAGCCAGGCGGGTGTGACACAGAAGTAATTCAAGAGGGAGGACAGAGTAAGGGGCCAGGTAAGACGAGGCTGGGTGGGGCTCTGATCTGGCAGCATGGAGTCACTGGTGACCTCAGGGAGCAGGGTGGTGTGAGAGTCTGGTTGGCCTGAGGTCATGGCAGCATTTATTTCAGGTGGGAGAAACTGTGTGCTGAGTGTCATACCTGAGATATGCAGATGTCTTAACAGCCTGGCCCTTGAAACCTCCTGCCCAATTTCAGGCTGGGAGAGGCAGCTCTAGAGCTATGGCTTCCAATCCTGGGAGTAGCCGAAATGACCCCGTCATCTCAGGGGTGAAAGCAGGAAGGTGCCTGGGCGTGCGGGCCGAATCTCTCTGTCAATGTCCATCTAAGGACACTGTGGGCAGTGGAGCCGGGGTGGGGGATCAGTAGAAGCATGGGCTCCTCAAAGCTCAGAACTGGAAGATAAAACTCTTCACGTTCGGATGGGGAAACTGAGGCCCGGAGAGGGAACCAAGTAGGGATTTGGGCGCAGGTCCCAGTTGGGACAACAGAAGAGAGACCCTTGCCTTGGGACTGGCCTGGGCTTACATTGGGAACTCTGGCAGGTTCTGGCACGGGGGACCCTTGAGTCTCCTAGAATGAGAAGTCTTTTGGCCTGGGAGGCTCCAAATGAGAGGTGGTATGGGTCTGGCTTCCCTATAGCCTCATTTTGCACCTGCGAGCCTGGCACAGGATTTCAGATATGGTGGCACCTGTGGAGACAGAGATCTACACCTGGGACAGCAAAACCTAGCATGTGTGAAAAAAAAAAACAAACCTAGCATGTGCGATCCTCTCTTACCCTGCTGCTACACATCCCTAGCCGATCTGCACTCTTCGCTGCCGAGTCCAGATCTGACCTCAACAATCCATTTGCTTCCTGAGCATCACTGGTCCTGTCTGCGGATTGCACCTGGGATGCTGCCTGACAGAGGCCCTGATGTCTCCGTCTGGAGCCACTGACTGTGTCTCTCTCCCTCCACAGGGGGGCTGTCGGTGGCCGTTCCTGGTGAGATCCGTGGCTATGAGCTGGCACATCAGCGACACGGGCGGCTGCCGTGGGCGCGCCTTTTCCAGCCCAGCATCCAGCTAGCCCGCCAGGGTTTCCCTGTGGGAAAGGGCTTGGCGGCAGCCCTGGAGAGAAGCCAGGCTGCCGTTGAGCGGCATCCTTCCCTGTGGTATGTCTGTGGGCACTGGCCTGCTCTGGGGCACAGTCAGGGCAGGCACGTCCCCAGTCGCTGCGGGCCCCGACTGGCTGATGGAGCACTTTCAGGAACCTGTGCCTAGACGGCTGGTATCCAGAAGTCAAAATCCCTCCCCACCAAGTGTGGGGACACATTCTGAGCCTGGTGCCTGGGGTTCTGGCCTGTGTGCCCTGAGCCACAAGGGACTCTAGGAGGCCTTGGCTGGACACTGGAGGATGAACTCCGAGTGACAGGGCCACCTACCTGTGGACAGGCTCTGACTGTCCTTTGTTCTTGTCTCTCTGTGTTGGGTGGATGTGGGGGTTGTCTGGCCAAGTCCATGACACCTGCCTGCCTCACGGGTGCCTCTCTGCCCCAGTGAGGTGTTCTGCCGGGATGGGAAGGTGCTGCGGGAGGGGGACAGAGTGACCATGCCACGGCTGGCTGACACGTACGAGACTCTGGCCTTCGAGGGTGCCCGGGCTTTCTATAACGGGAGCCTCACAGCTCAGATCGTCAAGGATATCCAGGCGACTGGTGAGTGTGCAAACTCAGGGACCTGGGGCGAAGAACTCTACAAGGGGAATTCTGAGCTGGGGCCCAGAGTTCTGGGGTCCTCGGATCCTGCCTGGGCTAGGCACTGGGCCCTCAGGGAGCACCTGGCCAGAGAGAGTCACAAATGTGTTTGCAGTCAGTGACAGGCCATGGATCTACAGTTTCTGGTTAAGTTAAAGCTGAGAAAAAGGGTGCAGTTCAAGAGAGAAAACCCCCCAGGGGTAAACATAGGTGTGGGCAGGAGCCAAGGTTGAGGAAGCACTGAAGTAAAGACCTGGGAGGACTTCCTGGAGGAGACAGTGCCTGAGTTGCAGATGAAGTTGCACTTTATATACGGGCAGAGAGAGGAAGGGTATTCCTGGCAGAGGGAACCGACTAAAGCGTGCAGAGGGGGATTTTAATTCTCTGGAGGGCCACAGGGGACATGGATGGGCTTGGTGAAAGAGACATTGGAGGGGCTGCTTGCAGGGTCCTATGGTTAGAACCTTGTGGAGCAGGTTCTGACGGAGCCCGATGCTGCCTCTCCCTCCCTGAGCTGTGGCCTTCTTCATGTTTTTTTGTCGGGATGTCACCAGAGGAGGGTGACTGGCATGTTGACATTTATGATGCCAGAAATTAGCTTGTAAATACTTGTCTGTCTGGGGCCTTGGAGAATTAAGAACCTCCATCCAGCCACTCATTAGTCACAGGAGGACTGGGCTGAGCAGGGGTGAAATGGGAGCAGATATTTTCCATTTAGAGAAGACCCTCTGGCTGCCAAGAGGAGAACTGGCCACCTGGGAGGCTAGTGGGCAAGCAGATCGGGGGCAGCCGGCCTGGGCTTGGCTGTGGGGAGGTGGCACTGTCGGGGAGAACAGAGGGTGTGGGGAATGGGCCAGTGTGGAGGTGGAGGGGACGTGCCCTCCGGGGTGGGCAGGGTCACCCTTTAATGGTGTGGCCTCATCATCCCCAAATGGCAGGCCTGCCCCCCAATAGTACAGCCCCATCCCCATGTCCCATCCTGCCCCCCTACCCCTCACTGAGGTCCTGACTCGTTTCAGGGGGCATTGTGACAGCCAGGGACCTGAACAACTACCGCGCCGAGCTGATCGAACACCCGCTGAACATCAGCTTTGGGGACGCCCGGCTCTATGCGCCCAGTGCCCCGCTCAGTGGGCCTGTGCTGGCCCTCATCCTCAACATCCTCAAAGGTGAGCCACGCACCATGGCCCTGCAGGGGGCAGTGCTGAGTGGTCAGGCTCTGACGGGTGACTGACTGGAGCAGAGGGAGTGTTTGGGGGAAGCGAGGTGGGGATCAGTGTCCTAGGGGTGGGGCTCAGGGGCAACAAAGTCTGGCTTGCCCCAGGCACCAAATGCCAGAAGTTCATCTGTGCGCTCTGGCTGGATGAAGAAGCCCCGGGCCCTGGGGGTCCCTTTCCCTCTGAAATAGCGACAGCTGCTGGTTATTAAGTGTTCCCCTTCTTAAGGTGGGCCATTTGGTTCAGGGAGGTGTGAGTCAACCCTGGGCACCCAGCAGCTGTCTCGGCTGAGCTGGCATGTCCTGCGGGCCCTGGGGTTGCCAACGGATACCTAGCTCTGCCCTGCCAGGGTACAACTTCTCCAGAGCAAGCGTGGAGACACCTGAGCAGAAGGGCCTGACTTACCACCGTATCGTGGAGGCATTCCGGTTTGCCTACGCCAAGAGGACCCTGCTTGGGGACCCCAAGTTTGTCGATATGACTGAGGTAAGGAACCGGGGCTGGCTCAAGATGGGCAAGGGGCCTGCCGTGGAGGAGGGTTCCCCGAGACCCTCTATGGATTAATAAAGCCTCCTGCCTGCTTTATGTATCCATTCCCACCGACTTTGGTGGCAGGCCTGCTATGTGCTGGGATGGACTGGTGACTCCAAGTCTGGGGTTCATGGAGCTCACAGTGTAACAGACTTGACAATGAGTAATTAGTCCCCCACTTCCCCTCACCACACTCCTACCTCAGGGCCTTTGCATGTGCTGTGCTCTCAGCCTAGAAAGTTCTGGTCAGTGCCGAGGTGAGGAATGCATGGGGGCATCGCAGCCCTCAGGGTTCATGAGAAGGATGGGTGAAGGGGAGGGGACCAGCATTCTAGGTGGCTAGAGGTCTTGGCCACCAGCTTCCTGGTCACACCCGGGAGCTGCCCAGGTGCTGCACTCCCCGACCCACTCACCAACGGCTGCCCTTGCTCCAGGCTGGGCCTCCACTGTGACCCCCGTCACGTCCCTCCTTACCTACTTGTATCCTCGCATTCTAGAATAGACCTGCAGACCCCTCACCCTGGCCTGGCCTTCCTGGGGCGGGGCTTCCCCTCTGGTCTCTCAGGTCTTTTCTCTTTTCCAGTGACCATTTTGCACCCCCATTACCCACCGCAGCCAATGAACTGGCATCCTGTATTCCTGAGGTGACAGAAGCCCCTGCATTGGGCCCCCCTCTGCCCTCCCTTCTGGCTAAGGCTCATCCTTCCTACAACACTGCTCTGCCTGTTGTATTACCGTTCCTCCTTTCTGGTGGATCGTTCCTGAGAGAAGCGAGCTGTTGTTCCCAAACCCTCCCTCTGCTGCCCTCAGCGACATCGGTCTCCTCTGTCCTCTCTGGAGCCCTCTCCCATTGGCTTCTGCCATCAATATTTGTGTTTTTCTCTGAGTCAGTGGACAGAAAGTTACAGATATCACACTTCCCGGTTGTATTTCTTGAGTGAAAACTTCCACACACTGACATCGAGGCACATGACCTATTAGAGCCCGTGTTGAGATTTCCCTGAGGATCCCGTGAGTTTAGGCCCAGGGCCCCTGGGGCTCACGCTGGCAGTTGATGCTCTGTCTCTCTAGTCTCCTTCCCTACAACGGCCGGATGTTGTCTTGCTGATTGTTAAAGCCCAGGGCAGTTGTCTTGCAGAATCTTCCACATCCTGGATTTGACTTTGTTTCCTCTGGAGTCAATTCAGGCTGAATGTTTTCCCCTTGGATTGGTCAGTTAGTCCGAAGGATGTTACTGGAAGCTTCTGGAGGCATTTCCTCTGCTAGGCGCCCAGGGGCCATCCTCGCCCGCCCCTCCTTCCTTTCCTCCTCTCTTCTCTGTGTCTGTCCATCCTCTCTGTCTGCCCACCCAGGCTCATGGCTTAAAACAGCCATCTCCCCATTCATTCCTCAACCCGATCTTGCCCATGAAACTCGACGCCCAGGTTCACCACCCACCTGAGACAGTGTCCAGTGAGCATCTGTCTAAAATCAAGCTCCTACTGTCTCTGAAACTGTCTCTTCCACAGTACTCGCCTCCCCAGGTAAGGGCCACTCTGGACTGCAGACTTCCGGGCCGTTCGCAGTTCTTTCTCTCACCTGGGTGAGCCACCTCCTCTCTCCAGCTCATGTCATAGCCTCCCTATTGGATTTTCCCCTTTTCCTCAACATGGCCTCCAGAGGGATCCTCTGCAAACACCCATGGCGTGCTCACGCCTCTGCCACAAATCCAGGTGGCTCAGAGCAAAAGCTGAAGTCTTAATGGGGTTTATGGGATCGGCCCCTGCCGACATCTTCAACCTCCTGTCTCCCTAACTCAACTCACTGTCTGCCTGTTGCTCACAAGTGTCCTTCAGGGCCTTGTAGTTGCCATCCAGGCCTCATTCAGGGCTCTTTTCAGATGTCACTTCCTCTTAGAAGCCCTCCTTGACCACTCTGCCCCTACCCTGTCCCTCTCCACCACCCTTACTTGTTCTTTCCTGCACGTCCCCGCTTGCCTTTGTCTTCCCTGCCATGATCGTGGGGACCTGCATGTCTGTTCCTTGCTGATCCCCCAATGCCAGGCATGCAGCACAAGCTCCATGACTGAATGAATGCTGAGAGTGTGGGGGTTTGGAGAATGGACAGACAGACATTCAGAGTTGCTGGACTGCAACAGAGACAGAAGCTGGAGAGAGGGAGTCAGACAGGCCACCTGACGTTTAGGGTGCAGGAGGCTTGTGGTCAGACCCATGGTCGGGGCTTCTTGAGAGCTGCTTGCACAAGCCCGTGCCCCCTACCCCTCACCTCCTCAGGCCAGCTCTGGGGTCTCGGCAGGTGGTTCGAAACATGAGCTCCGAGTTCTTTGCTGCCCAACTCCGGGCCCGGATCTCCGACGACACCACTCATCCGGTTTCCTACTATGAGCCTGAGTTCTACACACCGGATGACGGGGGCACCGCCCACTTGTCTGTGGTTGCAGAGGATGGCAGCGCTGTGTCGGCCACCAGTACCATCAACCTCTAGTAGGGGCTGTTGGGTGGCCTGGGTGGGCCAGGGCTGCCCCCATGTCCCAGAAGCGGGGCTCCATCAGTCCCTCTCATAATGGGAAATCGAGGCTCCACCTTAGTAGAGCATTTGCACTGGACCTCACAGGGTATAAGCTGGAGATTTGGTGGTTGGGTGGGGACCTGGTGGGGCCAGGCGAGGTTGGGCAGGGGACAGCTGTCTGACCCAGCTGGTCTGTAGCTTTGGTTCCAAGGTGCTATCACCGGTCAGCGGGATCCTGTTCAACGATGAGATGGATGACTTCAGTTCCCCTAACATCATCAACGAGTTTGGGGTGCCCCCCTCACCGGCCAACTTTATCATTCCAGGTGTGGGGTGGAGGGCTTGCGTGGGGAGGGAGCTGGTGTCCCAAGCACAAGCAGCTGACCAGCATCTCTGTCCCCTATTGCCCACCGACCTCAGGGAAGCAGCCAGTCTCATCCATGTGCCCGGCTATCATTGTGGACAGCGACGGTCAGGTCCGCATGGTGGTGGGTGCCTCTGGGGGCACACAGATCACCACAGCCACTGCGTTGGTATGTGCCACCCACCTGTCCCCCCAGCCCCTGCCTCTGGGCCATGCTGACCCCATCTACCCCACTTCCCCCCCAACCCCCCCGCCGCAGGCCATCATCCACAGCCTGTGGTTCGGCTACGATGTGAAGAAGGCAGTAGAAGAGCCTCGGCTACACGACCAGCTTCTGCCCAACATCACAGTGGTGGAGAGAGACATTGACCAGGTGTGCGGGAGGTGGGGAAACTGAGTCACGGGGGGGACCCACTGGGCATCCTGGGATTGAGGTCTGGATCTCCTGAGTCATGGAGTAGATGATGGCTGGTGGCCTCTGCCTGGAGCAGGTGATCCTCACACCCACTTCCTGGGCCATCTTGAGCCCCTTTGCAGTGAGGGCCAGGCCACCTGCTTCAATGAGACCCAACAGGCCCAGCTGCCCCCAACTTACACTTCCTGGCCACTCGGCTAGAAATGGCATCATCTGGGTCTCTGAAGCCTGTGACCACACAGGTGTGGTTCAGAGGGCGTCTTGGGTCCCCCTGAGGCCTCCCTCTCCCCTTCCACCCTCAGGCGGTGACTACGGCCCTGGAGACCCGGCACCACCAAACCCAGGTTACGTCCAGCTTCATCGCTGTAGTGCAGGCCATTGTCCGCACGGCCAGTGGCTGGGCGGCCGCCTCGGACTCCAGGAAAGGCGGGGAGCCTGCTGGTTACTGAGTGTTCAGGGCGGATGAGGCTGACGGGCAACCCAGGGATGCGATGCCCGTCAGGACTTTGAGGATTGTGCTTCGTTCCCTTTTGAGCGTCAAAGCAGTACAATAAATGGGAGCCACAGCACCAGGCTCTGGGCAGTCTTGAGGGCTGGCTCCTAACTCCCTGGGCCTTAGCATCCTGTGTGAAATGGAGCCACCAGGAGGAAAGATGGACAGCCTGGCGGGTGGGAGGGGCGCGCAGGACAAGCCCATGTCAAACATTTCTTCACTCTAAGCCCCAGCAGAAGGGGCTAGGCCCTCCCTTCCCTGAGCCGGGCAGCGGCGCTTTCAGTATCGAACATCAGGGGGCGCCATAGCCCTAGCTTTCACTTGGGCAGCCGCGGTTGACCTATGCTGGGAATCCTGGTGTCTCTGCAGCCTGGCAGCTGTCCAGACTCACCCTTCCCAGGACACGCAGAGGTGAAGCCGAGGTCTGGGGAGTGGGATTGGACAAGAGGCTGAAGCAAAACATGCTGGTCAGAGCCAGGTCCCGGGGGCTTTCCGAGCACCAAACCAGAATGAAACCCAAGCTGTGCTCAGCTGCAGCACGAGGCCCAGTTCTCAGGGAACAGAGAACTGGAAGAGGTCCCCAGATCCCCGAGGGTCAGGACTTGGACCCGCAGATGGTCGGCTGGGGAGCTGGAGAATGCAGCCTGGGGAGGGTGTGTCTGGTGCGGAGGCACAGAGCACCCTGCCTCCGCGAACGTGGGCCAGCCCCTCGCCCTCGCTCAGGATCTGCTAACTCGTCCTTGACGCACAGTCAGTGGCACCTGAGTGAGGTGCTGGGAAAGACTAGTGGAGGCTCGAGCAGGGCAGGGGCGGAGGGAGGGGGTCGCTGCCTGGCAGCCACATAATCCCCCACACAGTGAGCACAAACAGGGGCCAGCAGGGGCCAGGTCTGGGCGCTCCTTCCTGAGGCGGGAATACCTGTTGCTTCCCACATGTCCACAGGGAAGTGGGTTTTTGTACCTGCAGAGTCCGAGCCCTGCCTCTGGGATCTGTGGGGTTGGAATGGAATGTGCAAGTCACTCCTTAGCCCTCATTTTGGCCCCAGAAGAAAGGCCGCAGCCCCATCTACGCGGAGAAGCGTGGAGCTAGAAGCTGGCCACGAAGCTTCCTGGGCCTTGACATGCAGAAAGGGTGCACCCCGGTTCCCCAGACCCCACGGGACTCGGCAGAGGGCTCCCTTGGGGGCTGAGGAACTTGGTCTCCTCTCTCTTTCCTTCCCATCATCTCCTCACTGCCTAGACCAGTGCATTCAGGGCCCTTCCTGGCCACACCTCTGACCAGGCCAGAGTGAAGTCAGTTCCTTTCCTAGGATTTTGCTCCAGCAGTCCCTGCACCCTGGCCTCTGCCTGACCAGGATGGCCGGAGAGAGGAGGGGGACGGCCCACCCCAAGCCTGCTGATCCCCGCTGCTCCTGCTGTCCCTGCCTCCCAGGGGCGGGTTGGCCCTGGCCCAGGAATGCACTCTGGTTCCTGGTTAAACAATGTCACTGTGGAGGAGGGGGGGAAGCTCTGCAGTCCTCCCAGTCCCATGAGACAGCCATGGGAACAGGCCTACAGGAGAGCCTGCCCCCGTAGTCTCTCTAATGCAGGCTTACCAGAGGCTCTGGACTGGGGGCCTGGCAGACCGTCTGGCTGTGTAGGCACAGTCCCTTCCTGTTCCCTCGTTTTTCTGCTGTACCTGGAGATGGAAAGAGACCTGAGAAGGGAGCAGGGACGGAACGCAAGGACCGTGTGGGGACTTATGTGGGTGGGAGTCCAGCCCAAAGCCCCTGCGCCCTGTGCCCTTGCTAAGCCTGGCCAAGGAGGCACCTCAGTGGGCCCGCACTCCCCCAGCCACTTTCCATTTGGGCACCCCGAAGCCTGGGCAGGGCAGGGCCCAGGCCAGTGTCCCTAGGAGAGGAGGCACAGGAACAATTTGGAACATGGATGGACACGAGGAAGCAGACAGAGAGCCTGGGCGGGGCAGAGATTCAGAGTGAAGCGCGGACTCACTCCCTGGAGTGGTTTTCGAGGAAAACACATGGATGGACACGAGGAAGCAGACAGAGAGCCTGCGCGGGGCAGAGATTCAGAGGGAAGGGCGGACTCACTCCCTGGAGGCCCACAGTGGTTTTCGAGGAAAATGGGCCCCAGGGGTGGACGGTCTGGTGGGCACTGTGTACCAAGGGCTAGACACATGCCCTATCTGCACCCCCCACACAGATGTCTTACAGTCCTTGGCATTTGTCGCTCTTGAGTTGACCTGGCCCTTGAACAGATCCAGAAGCTAAGCCCCCTCCTGGTTATCACTCCAACCTTACTCTACCGGCTTCCCAGCCCCGTTCCCAGCCAGGCTGTTGGCTGAGCTGAGACTTGAACCAAGTTCTGAGTGATGTGGCCTTGGGTCTCCCCTCTATCTGCCTCTGGCCCCCTGCAGCCTGACTTCTGTGCCCCAGACACCATCCTCTGGCTCTGAGGGTGCTGAGGGAAGCTGCTGCTGGGCAGGGCTATCCCAAAAGAGCAGGCGTGAGGGCTCCTTGAGTCTCTGAGCATGATTCAGGAAGATCTGAGCCCTGCTGTTCTGGCTTTGTTGGGGACCATGGAGCAACTGTGGAGGTTCTGGGAGCCCTGCACACGTGATGGGGGAGTCCTAGGAGCCAGTGGGCGGGCGGGAAGGGAACGGCAGTGAGGGAGTTAACCATCCGCTTGCTCCTCTGGAAGGAAAAACTCCCCGCAAACACCCTGCTTCCTGGCCTCTTGCCAGGGCCAAGAGCAGGGCTGAAAACGAAGTTCAGACTTGCGGCCAGCTCTGCCGCTGTAGCAAGCATTGACGAGGACAGCAGCTTTGCCGCCGCCAGACATCTGTCCATTACCCACCTTCTTGCTTGGTTGCTCACCGTTCATCTGTAAACCTGTCTGTCCATCTGGAATCCCGTCTCTGTCCACTTGTCTGACTGTCCTTCTCTTCCTATCTCTCCAGCTGTCTGGCCTGTCTGTCAATCCATTTGTCTGTTTGTGGCCCCCATCTATTTGTCCGATCATCTGTGAGTCCATCTGTGAATCATCTTGTCCATTCATCCACACCGCTGTCCAGGCACCTGTCTGTTCACTGGCCTGTCTGCCCCACTGTGTCCCCTCTCCCCCTGGGCTGCAGAGCCATGGCCCAGGGCCGGGGGGCCACAGTCAGCCTGGTGCTGCTGGGGCTGGGGCTGGTCCTGGCCATTATCGTGCCTGCTGTGATCCTCTCTCGCCACCACACCCCCTGCAGCCCCCAGGCTTATGCCCATGCTGCGGTTGCTGCGGACTCCAAAGCCTGCTCGGACATTGGACGGTGAGTAAGAAGTGGGTGGGAGCTGGGTAGCCCTCTGCAGCCGGCCCCTCCTGGAGACTTTGTGACTAGAAGCAAGATCATGGAGAAGGTGTACATGTGTGCATGCTGGCATGTGAGGGCCAAATGAGTTTGGGCTCCAGCAAGGAAGTAACCCCAGGGCTCTTGAATAGAGCAGACGGCAGGCATGTGCATGGGACAGATGTAGGTTTGGGGACAATATACTGTCTGGGCAGAGCAGAGATGATATGTGAGTCTATTCCTAGTTCCAGGGCTCAGGAGGCCAAGAGAAGGCACTGCCAGTGTTACTGGTTGGGCCCAGTCTGACCCAGTGACCAGTGCTCGCTCCTTCAGAGAGGCCATGCCAGTTCTTCAAGCTGGGTCTTCTCCCAGAGGCATGGTCGCGGGGATTCTGAGGCTCCGTGTGTGAATTCTGGCCTGCTGGGGTGCACTCCGTGCTGTCTAGGACCAGTCTCCCACCCTGGCTTAGGTTTCTTTTTTGTTTGGCGGGTCACAGCTAGCGGGGCAGTGGAAAGGGACCCCAGCTGGTGTTTCTGACTCTCTTCCAGGAAACCCAGGCCATGAGAGGCTTCTGCTGCACAACGGGGGCGGGACATGGCAGGACTCTCCGCCTGTCCCCATCCTACCTCCCCGACCCCGCACTGGGTCTGCCTCAGGGACCCTCGGCAGGATCAGGCGTGCTTTGTAAACCAAAAGGAACTGTCCAGGAGCTGGGGGGAGTGTGGCCAAGTCCTGGCCCAAGGCTTCGCTGGGCAGATGGTGTTCCATGCCCCCTTTATCTCTCCTTCACGCCACCCGCATGCTTTCTTCCTGTTTTATTCATTCACCTTTTCATTCTTTTCTTCCTCTCTTTATCTGTCTGTCTGTTCCTGTCCTACCCTCTCCTGACCTGGTCCTCTAGGGTCTTCTCAGGGCTTTCTGTCCCTTCTCTCTCAGGCTGCTTGGTCTACCCAACGGGCTCCAAGGAGATGGGAGGGAAATGAGCACCCCACCCCCTGGTCCATGATCATGAGAACATGCAGAGATGCCATGTTCACCTGAACCCACAGGTGCAAAGATGTAATCACAACCAGAGGCTTCAGGCCCCAGAGACCACCGCTGGGAGCACAGCCCCGAGGAGTGGGGGCTGCTGCCGCAGATCTCTGATGGGGTCTGGGCCCATTGTGTCTCCCTGAGTCTTTGGCAGGGGGTCTCCATGGTGTGCCCTGCCGTGTAAGTGAGGATCTAGGGTTGGGGCCTCTGCCGGAGGAGCTCCCAGCAACCCTCCCTTGGCGAGGAGAGCAGATGTGGTTTCTCTCCAGTGTCTGTGTACTTCTCAAATAGCACGCTCTGCTTCCTGTTCTTGATTTAAGAAACCAAGAGCATGAGGGAGCCTGGAGCTGACCCCGGCTGCTGTGGGACAGGGGGTCAAGCAAGCCTGCTGGACTGAGAGTCCCCTGGCCCTGCTGCTGCAGGGTCTGATGGTGGCTGCCACCCACAGCCCACTCTCCTTCTTCCCTCCTATATCCGCCTCCCACCACCTTCTCCTCTCGGCAGCAGGGCCTCCCAGACCCAACCTCCTACTCCCCTATCAGCACTAGCTTTTCTCATTTTAGGTTGGGCCTTCTGCTGACGCCAGAGCCCCTAGGGCAGTGTTCTTAAGGTTTACATCAGTAAGACCCAGCACCATGCCTCATGGACATAAAATAGATGCTAGGTGACAATGAGGTTCCTACCACTCTGGCCTCTCATCTTCCAGTATTATGTCCCAGTGTGTTAAGCTCATGGGCAAACTGGGTTTCCTGAGGTGTTTGTCTTCTAGGGAGACTGTGAACTTCAGATTTAGTGGTGGCTCTTAGGCTTTGCGACATCTGTCTGCTGTGGCCACTCAGAAATGCCTGTTCTCCCACTGGATCCTCAGAGGGAGGATTCATTGCTCCTCCCTGAATCCAGTGGGACTCATGGCTTTGCTTAATTTATGAGGAAATTAAGCCTGCACAGAAGGGACCCGCCTGGTGTCACAGAGTGAGTGGGCCCAGCTGGGACGACCACCTCCGTTGCCCCTGGAGGGGTGGAAACTCCCCAGGAATGCTGGAAGGGGGGGTTCTTCTCAGAGGCTCTCACCCCTCACCCTGGACCCCAGGCATTACTGGTCAAACAAATAGTTGTAGAGGAGGCTGCTGGTAAGGGCCCTCTGGGGCCTTGGAGTCTGGGCTTTGGGGGTAGGCTGGGGACGGCTGGAGAGATGGGTCTTGTCAACTGCTCCAGACCCATCCAGGGACTGTGGGCTGTGCTCTGAGTGCAGATTAGAACAGGGACTCTGGATACAGTGCCGTACCCTGTGAGCCTCAGTTTCCCCAACTGAGAAAGGGGGCTTGTGTCAGGACTTTCCTCATGGGGAGGCATGGACTTCACCTGGCCGATAGGCGCCCTGATCTTTAGCTGTAACAGCAGGTTGGCCTGGATTCGGGTCAGATCTCGGGACCTCAGGCCGGGGCCCAGAGTCAGAGCAGAGTATACCCTATGTTGAGGAAACGGCCTGTGCGCCTGGGCACTGTGCATCGCACGTGTGAGCACATCTGTGTGTGAGCATGCACGTCGCCGTCAGTGTGTGTTTCAGCAGCAATGGTGACGGCGGCCTCCTGGCTCCTTGGGACAGGCGTATTAGATATGTGTGATTGTGCTACCCTCTGGCTATCTGGCCAAAACTGTCCTCATTCACAGCTGAGGAGACCCAGGCTCACGGAGGTTGCCCAGTGTCATGCAGCTAGTGAGTAGGCACTCTGACCTGGGTGGCCCCAAGCCTGTGTCATTGTACATGTGGACATAGGTTAGTGGGCGTCGTGGATGTGTGAAGGTGCGTTTCTCTACCTGCAGCGTCTTTCATCAATAGGAATGCAGCTCTATCGGTCAGCCATTGTCCTGGGACACGGCAGTAACCCAGGTGGTGAAAGCCCTTGCCTTCACGGTGGGGGAGACGGACAATAACCAAATCCATGGTTAATGCTGAGGGTGGGAAGTGATTATTGGTCATCTGGATATCCTCTTCGATGAACTTTCTGTTAAAATCTTTAGCCCATTTTCCTATCGGATTGTACGTCAAATGTATTCTCTGCATTATCAAGACAATCAGATAATTTTTCTCCCTTTTAAGAAATGCAGTGAATGTTAAATCTCCCTTGCATTCCTAGAACAAACCCTAGTTGTTCTGATTTAATGTCATTTTTTTTTTATCACTAGATTTGATTTGCTAATGTTTTCTTTAGGATTTTTTGTGTTATGTTCATGAGTGATACTGGTCTGTAATTTTCCTTTGTAATAGTATCTTCATCAGGTTTTGGTAATAAGGTTACTGGCCTCATAAAAAGAGCTGGGAAGAGTTCCCTCTTTTTCCATGCTGTGGGACAGTAGGTTTTGTTTTGTTGTTTTTCGTTTTTAAGATCGGTGTTATGTCCTTTTTAAAAGCTTAGTAGAATTTGTTGGCGAAGCCTCTTGAGATTGTTATTTGAGTGTGGGTGAAGGTTTTAAATAATAGATTCTATTTCTTTAATAAATATAAGGCTATCAAGTTTTTGTTTCGTCTTGTGAATTTATTAAACTCTTTCCAAGGAATTTGTCCAGTTTGTGAAAATTGTCACATTTATTGGAATACAGTTGTTTATAGTGTCCCCTTATATCTTTTAAATATCTATAGGATCTGTAATGAGTCTTCTTTTTCATTCCTGGTATTAGTAATTAGTGTTTTCTTTGTTCCTGATCAATTTTGATAGGGGTTATCTGTTTTATTGTCTCTTTGAAGAATAAATTTTTGACTTCACTGATCTCTTTATTGTACATTTATTTCCTCTTTCATTAGTGTCTGCTTTTATCTTTCCTTCTACTTCCATTGAACTTAAGTTGCTTTTTAAAAAAATTCATCTTGAGATACATCTTGGGAAACACAAATTATAAGGCGGATGCATAGGTCATTGATCTTTAAACTCTTTTCTAATATGTTCACTTAAAGCTATAATTTCCCCTCAAAGTTTGGGTTAGCTGCATTCCATGAGTTTTATCGTCGTTGCTGTTTTTCTGCTAAATGTTCATATTTTTATTTTGAAAAAGTTTTAAACCCATAGAAAAATAGAAAGAATGCCCTTCGTTTAGATTCAGCAGTTGTTAATATTTTACCTCATTTTTTTCCTCTGTCTCTCTTCATATATTTATCTATCCACATTTTAGAAAGTAAGTTGCATTAGTCATGACACTTTAAATACTTAAGCAAGATCTATTAAGAATAAGATCATTCTCCTATAAAACCTTAATATCATTATCACACTCAAGAAATTTAACCTTTGTACAATAATATTATCTAATTCTTAGTCCAATCTTAATTTTCCCAATTAACCCAATAATTCATTTTATTATCTATCTATCTATCTATCCATCCATCCATCTATCATCTATCTATCATCTGTCTATCTCTTCAGATCCAGTATCTAATGAGTGATCATCATATTTCTTTAGTCTTTTAAAATCTAGAACAATGCCCTGCTTTAAAAAAAAATCAGTTGATCTTCTATGACATTAATATTTTTAAAAGAAATCAGTCCAGTTGTATCACAGCCTTCTTCACATTTACTTGGAGACCAGATGAATGTCCTTTTCTCAGACATTTGTCCCTATTTTTTGCATCTGTTTTGATCTTTGAATAAATTTGTAATTGCAAACAGGTGGCTTCTAAGGCTGTTATTTCTTCAACATTCATTAGCTGACATTCTTCTGTAAAGAAGGTCCCTCCCTCCGCAACCCGAATATTCTCGAGTATCACTGTTGACTCAGGGATAATTTTAATTTAATATGTTATAAACCATCGCAGTGATTTTTTTTTAATGCTCAAATTGTCATAAATTAACCAGTGGGAGCTCCTTTAAGCCAGCAACTATATTCCGTTATGTGAATCCGTGAGTCTTGGAGAATTTTCTCAATTTCTAGCACAAAATGTTCTAGAATCTCCTTATATA